CCTGTCCCAGCGCTGATTCGCTGATTTCCTACCGTAGTACCTTTAGGTGGCGTACAACAGTAAGCCTCCGCAATTGTTCACCGATTGCAATAATTTGCATTATGCACGCAAGTTAGATGCCTCGTGGACGTCTAGAAAGCATTAGAAGTAAAATTGGTCTTGTTGTGTAATTGTGCGATTCCAGCTATAGTGGCGTAGCCATGGTCGCCTGTCGGGCATTTTTGTGTATGAAATGTAGTCAGACAACTTTGTAGAAATTCGCATCATAGAGCTGGCAAAAGTTTCGAGCGGAGCATAGAGCATGAATCTGTAGTTATTTAACATGAATAAAGTGTATGTTGTGTAAGCGAAGTAACAGTATGCGTATTTTTAATTAATATCTGTTCGATGCGTATTCAGGCCTGCTGCCTATGGACGCTATCTACTGTTGTTCACCACCTCTAGTGCCCGTATCTATCCTTCTCCTGTCCGAATCATCTGCTGCTGTGTCAGCGCGGCGGCGGCAGCGCCCCCTATGCGCTGCGAAGCTAGTCGGCGTGCTCTAGCTCGATGTGGGCTACGTCCGCACCACCGCTGACGATGACGACAACCAGGGCACTGCTGGTAAATGCCTCCGCGCTGTGCGGCGCGGCGGACAACGACAGTCGATCAGTGTGGACGATGTACGAGCAACTCAATGTGGCATTCAGAGCAGAGAGCGTCGATACTTCACTCCAACTCCCGAGCTTTCTCAAACGAAGTCGCTTTGAGGAAGGCCATAATTATGTATAGCGATCCTCAATTACTTCATTCGAATGGTGGTGATAAATATGTCTCGTTGATAATGTTAATCGTCGGTATTGGGGTTTTATCTCAAAGCTATTGCGCAATTCTTTCGGGGAACCTCATGTTTAGTGCTTTATCTAGACGTGATATAATAAACTCTGTGATTTATTCATGAAAATTAATTGCTACTGGCACATAAAGTACTAATTTTAAACTGCTAATAATACAGAATGGGAATCATGGTACTTTATCGGCGAGAATTACTCTTTACTGTGTATATAAGCCGCTTTGATAAAAAATTAATGTGGCAACCACCAATAGATGGCGCTCATAGGCTGTAGGTCGAAATGCGAATGATTTAAAACAATAAATCCCTAACCCCAACCCTAATTCTAAAATGAAAAAAATTTAGCCAAAAATAATACAAATAAATAAGAGACAAAATTAGCCAATCAGAGCTGTCCCCTAGCGGATCGCTATCTCTCCCTTGTGCAAAATTTTACGTGTGCGTGTGCGTCGTGTGCGTGTAAAATTGATCGTAAAATACATTATCTATATTGATTTTGTTTGAGCAGATCAAGATTATGTGATCCTGATCAGATGAATTCGTCCCGAACAAACAGGTCAAACAAACGAACAAACAGACAAATTTTAGACAGTTTCATTTCAGGGGGATTGTACGAAGTATATATACGCACGTTTTGTAGTACTTCGGAAGCAGGACGCAAATATCTCAAGAATTGAGTTGGTTATATTACGTACATATTACACAGGTGACTGGTTCCAGCTAATCTTCATTCATAAAAAAACAATCGTTATCGCGACACACACGCACATATTTTACGTGTAAATCGTATATTAAGTTTGCACTTTAATTGCCGTATCCCGTATGTTATGATCGATTCGAAGAGTTTTTCTCCTTGGACATGCAGTATTCAAAATGAAAGTTGAAATTTAGAGGCTATTCAGGATTCGTGCTCATCTTAGATCGCACTCAAAGTTTTAAAGGTGGAATGGGGGGAGTGCGTTAAGCTGGGTTTACGCTATGGAGAAATCGTCGAGATGAGAGGTTTTTACTTAGTTCTACCAACCTCTCTATCACATGTTCAAAGCTTTTACGTTATGACCGCGAGTCGGCAAACGTTTTAAGATTTGACCCACAGTGTGTGCGCGGGGCGACGTGGATACGCATTTTTCATGTATTGCTGTTCTCTGAGTGGAGTTTCGCAAATCCTTGCTGAAAAGCCACACTTAGTACTACTAGTAGTATTACGCTTGTATCGGATGTGATACAGCACCCGCTTCTACTTCCCTCCCTTGAATTTAATAAATGCTGTCCATTTCTTCCTCAAGTCAGTGTCATTACGCCACTAAAATAATTTGCTACTTGTGTGCGAGCAACTGATCGCAACACATCTACGTGTCATTGTAAAGTTAGCGAATTCTTACTCAAAATACAGACTCGCTCGTTCACGATCATACTTAGCGCTGCACGACAACCGTTACGCGAGACGCGTCCTGGAAATGACGGCAAACCCGAAAATTGCCGATGTTTGCCGAAGGCGCGCGGCTTGTTGGCAGGTGACGTTTCCAGTTCCATATCTTAAATATGCGCACTTTCTCACGAAAAAACATAACGGAACGCCAGACAATTACTATACTGATGTTTATTTATCTATTATTTACGGTATTCCAATAGATATTGCGCCTACTCTTTAATCAATATGTGGGTGAGAAAATTGTTACGGACGGATATTGCCGCTTCAACAATGCTCAATGGCTCTTTGCTATGTACGTGGTGCGAATTTATTGGCACTCAGGTAGACAATTTGGTATTATTTACTGTATTTGAAAAACAATGGAGCCATTTAGAGAAATCCGGACACAAATTCCGAGCCGCATTATTATTATTATTATCATCATCATCATCATCATCATTATTATTATTATTATCATCATCATCATCATCATCATCATCATTATTCAATTTTTAATTCTGTGGCATGCAGTGATTAATTTATTTATCGAATAATATTTTAACAACGTTGTGTTCTGGTAACCCTTTGCTGATTCTATACCTTTATGCATACACGCGTTTCTTTTAGTTACGATCTGTTTATATCACTATCTGCTTCACTGATGTAAAAACCTAGCCATAGTCAGAGCCTTTGGTTTCAGTAGATGAGATTAGGTGGTACATATAACTGTAATGCATAGTCGACATCAATATCATAATACCAGGAGTGAATAATAGAGATCTATAATAATCTCTATTATTCACTCCTGATAATATCAAATATAAATATTCCACCATCTTCCTTTATTTCTAAGTGGATCGTATCACGTTATGCATAATTGCGGCTCTACATTTCGTTACATCACGAACATGCGCAATGAAGAAAATATTTAAGGGGGAAAGATTGGTGTGCACGTTATTGTTGTCCCCATGCCCGTCATTACTTCGGTACACATAAAGAAAACCTCCAGTGTCGGTATGCCCGTACAGCCATCGTTGGCGCAGCTGATTTTCGTCCCTGAAAATTCAGATAATGAATGAAACAATAACAATAATGAAACAAGGCGGAGAAGCACATGGATTGGGCTTTTTTGGTTAGAATTTTGAAACTTTGCACACGCGTAAGACATGAGGTCCTGACGATTTTCTGATATAATGCAAATTTAACAGCGCCACCTGGTGGCGTACAGCACCCCTGGCGGTTTAACAGGTATTGCGTTATGCCACTCTTCGGGTTTTGGCTAAAACATCAAAAATTGTTATCCAATTTAGTTAACAAATAGCCCTCATGACTCGCATGTATCTACATTATTATTATTAATAATAATAATAAACAATTTGGTATTATTTACTGTATTTGGAAAACAATGGAGCCATTTAGAGAAATCCGGACACAAATTCCGAGCCGCATTATTATTATTATTATTATCATCATCATCATCATCATCATTATTATTATTATTATTATTATTATTATCATCATCATCATCATCATCATCATCATCATCATCATCATCATTATTATTCAATTTTTAATTCAGTGGCATGCAGTAGATGAGATTAGGTGGTACATATAACTGTAATGCATATTCGACATCAATATCATAATATCAGGAGTGAATAATAGAGATCTATAATAATCTCTATTATTCACTCCTGATAATATCCAATATAAATTTTCCACCATCTTCCTTTATTTCTAAGTGGATCGCATCACGTTATGCATAATTGCGGCTCTACATTTTGTCACATCACGAACATGCGCAATGAGGAAAATATTTAAGGGGGAAAGGTTGGTGTGCACGTTATTGTTGTCTGCATGGCCGTCATTACTTCGGTACACGTAAAGAAAACCTCCAGTTCCGGTATGCCCGTACAGCCATTGTTGGCGCAGCTGATTTTCGCCCCTGAAAATTCAGATAATGAATGAAACAATAACAATAATGAAACAAGGCGGAGAAGCACATGGAATGGGAATTTTTGGTTAGAATTGTGAAACTTTGCACATGCGTACGACATGAGGTCCTGAAGATTTTCTGATATAGTGCCAATTTAACAGCGCCATCTGGTGGCGTACAGCACCCCTGGCGGTTTAACAGGTATTGCGTTATGCCACTCTTCGGGGTTTGGCTATAACATCTAAAATTCTTATCCAATTTAGTTAACAAATAGCCCTCATGACTCGCATGTATCTACATTATTATTATTAATAATAATAATAATAATAATAATAATAATAATAATAATAATAACATCGCAAGGACCTCTCCATCCTTAGCGAAATAAAAAAGGTGTCACAACAAAGCAAGTACATGCCAAGGCCAAGAGCATCTTATGCAAGCGCCGAAAGGAGAATAAGACCATATGCGAGCTCCAACAAGAAATTAAGATGAAACTACAGGCCAAAGCTTTGAGTTGCAAAAGGTTGAGAAGGTTTACTAAGCAGAGTGAGCACTACTATCAGAATAAGCTCTTCCATGAAGATGCCAAAAAATTCTACCGGCATCTCAACGAGCAGCAAAGCACCACCAAGGAACCTCCCTGTCAAGAGCGACTCGATCAATTCTGGCGTGGAATACTGGAAGTTGGCACAGACCACAATACCAATGCCACTTTGATCAAACAAGAGGAGGACGCATTCCAGAATGTAGCAATGGATGTATAGACTGACATTACAATGTGTGAGGTACAGCAGGCCATCAAGCGGACCCACAACTGGAAGTCTCCTGGCCCAGACAAGCTGCACAACTTTTGGATTAAGCATTTAAGTGCCCTCCATAAACAACTAACCAGGGCCTTGAATGACACCATCAAGGATCCAAGCAATAGCCCTAAGTGGTTGACATCAGGAATCACTTTCCTTCTTTCAAAAGGCAAGGATACAAAAGAACCAAAGAATTATTGACCAATCACTTGCCTGCCTACCACCTACAAGATTCTCACCGCTGCAATCTCCAACCGCCTCTACAATCACTTACAGAAGAGCGGCATCCTCACAGATGAGCAGAAAGGCTGTAGAAGAGCGTCTAGAGGGTGCAAAGGCCAACTTCTCATCAGTAACATGATTGTGAGCATGGCAAAAAAACTTAAGAGGAACCTAGGAATGGCGTGGATTGATTATAAGAAAGCCGTCGACAGTGTCCCACATTCCCGGATTCTTGCAACCATGAGAATGTACCATGTGTCACCAACCATTATTCAGTTCATGGAAGCTACAATTCAGAAATGGAAGACTGAAATGCTCCTCTTCACTCAAGGAGGCTGCCTCGGGACAAAAGATATCTCAATCAAGAGAGGAATCTTCTAGGGCGACTTGCTCTCTCCCTTGCTATTCTGCTTAGCACTAACACCGTTTACCAACATGCTGAATAGACAGGGCCGGGGATTTACCGTCGATAAACACAACACCATCATCCACCTGCTTACATGGATGACCTTAAACTGTTCACCGAGAACCAATATGAGCTGGAGCAAGCCTTGGTAACAGTCAAAGCATTCAGTAATGACATCAAAATGGAGTTCGGCTTGGAAAAAATGTGCAACCGCAATCTTAAAAGGTGGTAAGCTAGTATCGAGCTTGATGAGAAGACAGCCCTACAAAGTCTGAACCACGAGGACACCTACAAATATCTTGGTGTAGACGAAAGGGATGGTTTTCAGCATGCAAAGATAAAGGAGAACATTGCTAAGGAGTACTGTCGCCGAGTTCGCCTAGTTCTCAAGTCTGAGCTCTGCACAAAAAACAAGATAACAGCGATCAATAGCCTGGCACTCCCAGTCCCCGTGTACAGCTTCGGGGTGATCAACTGGTTGCGATCAGATATTAAAAGGATGGATCGCAAGACAAGAAAGCTACTAACCATGCACGGTCTCCACCACCCAAAAGCAGATGCAGAGCGACTGTACATCACGAGGCAAAATGGTGGTTGTGGTCTCATTGAACTGATGTCTGCGTACAACACTGCCAATGTAGATCTAGGCGACTACATCGAGCTTAAGGAAGACAAATTTACAATGCTTGTCAAAATCCATCAGTCCGGAAAATCAAAGCACGCTCTCTTACGCGAGGCTAAAGAAATCAAAGCCAAATACTTGTCTCCTCAGCCCACCAGCCAATTCTCAACAAAACAGAGACTGAAGTCCAATATGAAAGCAGAGAAGATCGAGGTATTGAAGAACAAGCCTTTGCATGGAAGGTTCTACAAGAGCCTCGACAGGCCATTTGTCAACAAGACTGCAAGCGTTGCCTGGCTGAGTAGTTCCGGGCTCAAGGGGGAGACAGAAAGCTTGATCATTGCAGCCCAAGACCAAGCACTCAACACCAGATACCATCAACGCAACATCCGTAAGCAACCGGTCAACAGCAGGTGCAGAATGTGCAGCAAGGCAGAGGAGACCATCAGCCACATCATCGCTGGCCCCAACCGAGTACATAGACCGCCATAACAAGGTAGCCAGCTATCTGCACTGGTCAATCTGCAGTGAGCGTGGTGAGCAAGTACCTGACAAGTGGTATGAACATACTCCGAGACCAGTTACCAACATCGGAGATACTACCATCATGTGAGATATGGCAGTGCAGACAGATCGCACGATACCTGCAAACCGCCCTAATATAGTGCTCTACAACAGGAGAGAAAAACGATGCCTGTTGACTGACGTAGCCGTACCAGATGATTCTAACATCATGGTAAAGGAAAAAGACTAAACTCACCAAGTACAAAGATTTGGAGATCGAAATTAGGAGGATGTGGAATACTAAGACGAGAATTGTACCAGTGGTGGTTGGAGCCCTTGGCACTATAAAGAATGGTTTTGAGACGAACCTTAAGGAACTCCCTGGCTACCACACTGCCCAAGAAGTACAGAAAATCGCACTACTGGGAACAGCACACATCTTGCGAAAAATTCTGGATTGAATCCCTATGTGCTAGGTTGGGACACGGTCAACCCAGAAGCCACCGGCTAATGCCGTGATCCACTTTGGAAATAATAACAATAATAATAATACCATATATATACGTATAAATGCACAACCCACACCATGCATGACAGGATATAGTAACTAATATATAATATATATATATATACTATGAAGTAAACTAATATATAGATAATCAGTGAACATGGTAAGTGTGATAGCATCTGGTAAGAGTGTAGTACTCCAACTAAACAGATCGCGAAGATCGTCAATATTATCAGCCTTGATAAATAAACCGAAAAGATTTATTACCGTAACTATAATCAACTTGAGCTCAAGATTCAGGACACTAGTACAATTCAGATCACGATCTACCAGAGTCGTGTTCCTCGTAAGACAAACCCTCCCGCAATCCAGAGATAGAAGAACTAAAACATACGACACGATTCTCCAATCTTTGTCCGATAATATCAACTCGTAGCAATCAGCTCTAATGATTCAGACATGCAAAGGTCAGCACGATTGGCCCCGTGCACCGCTGCCGCTGCGTTGGCTCTGTTGGAATGTGGGAACGTGGATAGCCCAATCTGCTGCGTTTTGTCTGAATCATAGGTCGATGCTACGGTTGAATTTAATTGGACAAAGATTGGAGATCGTGTCGTAATGTTTGTTAGTCTGTATCTCCGGATTGGCGGGTGTCTACAGGAAACATTCTGTGCTACATGATGGTCGAATGGTACTTGTGTCCGAATTGAGCTCAAGTTCGATGTAGTTACGCGTAGTAAAAGCGTAGGTATTATATAGGCTAGTAAATGACGAATTTCCCTTGTTTATGTGAGGAGTTCAAGCAATCCATTCCGCTTTATCTACTGCTCTGATATATATATAGGCAATAAGGAATTGACGATAGTAAAGGGATACTCCCGCAGTAGATGTATGCGTAAAGAGAGACGGCAATCGTAATCTACATGCAGTAATACATTTGGAGACCGAATGACGCTAATCGTTGTTAACCGGTGTAAAAACACAGTATGATTTATGCGGCAGATTACCAGCTAGGATGGTAGTATTGCAAGCATTGATGATTTTATGGATGGATGGATGGTGATGGAGATGGATATGGATTGGATGTCAGTGCGTGAGTGGAATGGAATGGGATGGATGG